GAAAATGGCTAATTCTTTCCACCACCACACACAACCTGTGGGGTTTCAGTATATGTGGAGCCAAAAATGGTCATCTTTAGGGCATGTTTTCCTTCCCCAACGTATGTAAGTCGACCCATCTTGACGACTCAATTGATTTCGTAGCTCATCTATTGATTTATGAGCACCTACAAAAAAGAGAAAAAAACAAACAGAGCAAATTTTACTTTTATCGAAAATAAATAGTTTGAATTTAAAATGCAGCTGAACGTGTTTCCTTTTTCGGTGGTTCTTATGACCAACCTTTATTTTTTTCATTATTTCAGACAAGAAAGGGCACCTGAGTAGAACCAGCGACATTCCGTAATACATTTTCCATGTTTTCGCTCTAAAAAATTTTTTTTCTTTGCAGTGAAATATATTTTCCGATTGTTAATTGTTGTCTTGTAGAATAAACAAACTTTATTTTATACTATGCATAATCAAATATAATCTTCAAGCAAACTAATTTAAGTAATAGCCGCAAATGAGACTAAATTTGCTGAAGAGATGTAGAAACGACTTGAGCTGTTCATTTTAACTTGAATAGATGTCTACTGATTTTACCCGAATACTACACAATTTGTACAAATGAGGAACACATCTTACCGTTTAACTCCTTTTTTAGGTCCACACTGACACTTTCTTGTCTCTCTAGTTTTTGTTTGAGAATAATCAACTGTTCTATTACATGTATTCATACTCGAATTTATTGTAACACGGTTTTTCCTCTGTTAAAAACCGCTTGACAAATTAACTATGATGACAAGAACTGTGACAAAAATATGAAAAACTTCCATTATTAATTAACTTTAATAACTTGCACGTTCAGGTGATACTTGATTATATGGTGTAACAATCCTATTTAAAGTGTAAAAAATGATCTTGTATTTATCCCACATTTGGGATATGTTGCTACCACGTGTCATTTTGGTTTGGGACAATCAAATATAGATTTATTTTTGGACAGATTGTATTTTTTCCAAAATATATTTGCTGTTACACAACCGAGCAACACATGGTCCCGAAATTGTTAAGCAAGACTTAAAATGTTCTTTTGTTGGGTTGACCTTTTCTTGTAAGACCAAATTGTTAAATGTGCTAATTTTACTTTTGCAAATGTTAGTGCACGGAAAAGGGAGCATTAGCGCTCTTCTTGTACGAAAATATACGCCGAATTTGGTAACATCGCGATTCGTAATCGAATTCTCTTAATATGAAAAAAAAAACCACAAAAAAACCCACAAAAAACAACACTTTGACATGTTTTTGTGGGCAACATGAATAGTGCTATATTTGTCTTGCGACTGTTATTTTTGAAAAAAAAAAAACTATCTGACCAATCGTTACAATTCGCTATCTGAGTCACGCATTATAAGAATGAGCAACCAACCAATGTTTTCTTCTCCGTTAATGCATCCTGCTGCGCAGATTTTATGCAGAATTAACGCCTGAAATAATATTTGTTAAAAATATTTAACATTTTGGAAAGCGTTGGCAGGGTGGGTAAAGTGTAACATTTTTCGCACGAATAATTTGTTATCAATCTAAGGAAGAGCTCTCTATATCTCTCGTGTTCGTGTTAATTTCTTAATATTTGTAAAACACTTGGTTTGTAGTTGTTTCTTCCGTAATGTTCGATTTGTGTCTGGATCTATTTTCATGGTGGGTTTGTGTTGTTGATTTTGTCCAGCGTGTTAGATATCTTTGCAGTTGTATTTTAGTGTAACTGTCTTTTGTTGCTAAAAATACGGGGAAACGAGGGGTTGATTTCTTCTGAACGAGGTAGTATCAACAGATAGATCGAGATATTTCATTTTGGTGAGGGTATCGGCGGTGATATAGATCTCGGGTTGTTCTATGAAAGGAAATTAATGGTTCAAGTGATTATTTAGGAAACTATTCACTTAATCTTATTGGTGGTAAGGGGGTTAATGTGTTTCATTGTCCTTATGTGGGGGGTGTACGTGGGATTGAGCGATACCAATTTTTATTCCCCCACAATTTTGTCCGGTCTTTTTCTCCTAAATAGAAAACCTTCCAAGAGGGGACTTACCTATGCTAAAAAAATAAAAACTTTTTGAAAAACAGAAGTTTGCTGACTTATATATTATTTATAGCTATTAAAAAAGAAAAAACCTACATAATTTTTCATACTGTTTAAATTTAATTATTTCGAAACAAAATTTTTTAAAAGGGTCAACTCCCATTGGCAAAAATTTTCGGTTTTGTTTTTTGTATTGAAAATTAAGTCCATGTTGTCAGACCTTTTTTTTTAAATCATGTTTTTTCCGGAGTAGTTTTCTTTTGCCAGGGGCAAACAAATGGGTTTCTTTTACTTATTAAAAAAATTTTACATCGTGTATTTTATTGTTGACATATAATATTTAACATGTTTGACCATTTTTACCTACCCGTACACCGCCTGAGACTTTAATACCACATGATAACAAAACCCGAAAAGAGCGCCTTGTTTTTGTTACCTATGTAAAGTATGGAAATACTATTTCATGTACGAAACTAGAAACCAGTGAGTAGGGTAATACAGGGTCAAGAATAGCAGATCTTTTGTTCAGGTCACTAATTTGTTTTTTTTTTCAAATACGCGGCTAAAGACAATTCAGAGCATATTTGGAAATTATGATATTTGTACCGTATTGACTACGAGATGATAAAAAATTACTGGCGAGATGTTCCGATCCTTACTGTTTTCAAAATATAACTGTCGACTGACATCGCTCTAGCATGTGAAAAACATGACGGAACTTGTTTCTTAAAACGAAAAACAAAATAATAAAACTCGAAATTACCGCACCATACGAATTCTTTAATGCAATAATAACGCTACAGCACTTTCTTATTATTATCATCTACAGACACACTCGGACTTATCAAATTAAGGGAGAAAACAAATGCTTGAAAGAACCTGAATTATATTCGAGTTCTTTCCCCTGTTTTGAAAATATTTAAAGGGTGTATGATATATTTTTGCGATATCTTAAAAACTTATATTAACATTTAAGTTCTTTAATTAGTTGAATTTTAGCTAGTACATACAATCCAATCATGTGCTGCGTCCATTTGTTTTAAATAAATTTTACTTTACAATGCAGTCGATTTATATAAAATCTGTTTCAGAACAAATAATTTTAAATCTTACATATGCGCAAATAGCTGCTACAAAACCAAATCATTGCCATAACTTCTCAATAAACAATAAAACCAAAGTCGCCAAGACCAATTAGTTTATAAAAAGGTGGTCCCCCTTCCCCTTTGCCACTAGTTTTTATTTCTTTGATTAACCCGCCCCTTTTCCCGGTCTCCTGTCCCCTTCTCCTTTGTGGGCCTATTATTCTTTTCTTTGAATTCCTAATCAGTTACAAATTATTTATCATTTAAAGATTTACCTGTCCGTGCTCTGTCTTTGCCCTGTCCTGTTTTTGTTTGGGGTCCGCCTGGGCTCCTTGCCATTGGTTCTTGTTGTTGGGTCATGTGGGGTTGCGTTCATTGAACGCCGCCTTTCCTTGTTGATCTTGTTTATCATATTGTATGAATGAGGCTACAATTTTGAAGAGGCGCCGCCCTTCTGTGTATATCTGTGATCTCAAATTTTATGGTATATAAAACGGACCCTTGTTATGTTATGTTATGAAATTTGATGCACCCGAAGTTAAATTGTTTTATAGTGTTTACAAAAAGGTGAAATGGATGGCCGTTATTCTTTTTGTGAAAGTAATGCACCTAAAATTTTCGTCGTAGCTAGCAGGAAGAAACTTCCAAATTAAATAACCAACTTAAGATTAAATATTGAATTAAGCACACCAATATTTCTACTACCATTCAAAAGACGAACCAAAATTCAGTCAAATGATTTTAAATGTAAAATAGGATAAGTTGTTGAGTTGATATTCCGCATTGAATGATGGAGCTTCTAAGTTTAAGGAATCTCAGAATATGAATGGAATTATTTATGGTATCCTCCCAGCATAAAATAAACATCGAAACAAAACGCAGAAAATTGAGCATCTCGAGCAAAATAACACTAACAGTAAGAACAAGCTTTTGAGATATAATATAATTAGTATCAATTAATGTTGCGTCATCCATGTTTTTAGAATTATACTTCAAATATTTGTAGCATTTCCTGTCGAAAATTTCTTAAATTACTTCTACTTTAAATTATAACTCGAAAATATACAAGAATAATACCAATCAAGTACGGAGCACATTTAATTTTTTAAATCTAATTCAGTTATTATGGTAAACAAGCTTTTGGGATATAATATAATATTATGGTAATAGTATTTCTTTCAATCTTGAAAATCATTATTTAAATTTTGAAATCATGAAATAATGCGAGAGAGCTAAGTAACGGGTCTTAAGTAGGATTGTTTTGGAAAAAAAACAAAAAACATTTAATCAACAACTCTATTCTAATAAAAAATCCAGTTTGAAAAAGGATTAACATTCTGGCTTTAAGTGTATTAGCATACTGCACAAGTAGTTTCGCTTCCTTTAACATAGCAGGACAAGTAGTTGAGAGCACTTGTATTGACTAGTACTTGAGGGAACTAGTTTGTCGGGTGCTTTAGGGCACTAGATGGACAAGTGCTTGAGGGCACTAGTTGGTCGGGTGCTTGAGGGCACTAGATTGACAGGTGCGTGAGGGCACTAGTTGGTCGGGTTCTTTCGGGCACTAGATGGCCAGGTGTTTGCATGAGTGCACTGGATGGACAGATGCTTACATGAGTTCAGAAAACGGACATGTTCTTCAGAGCACTAGATAGATAGGTGCTTGAGGACATTTTCGAAAAATCTTTTCCGTTATTATCACCTATACCACAATTTTCTTTCTCGGAACCTCTAGGCTTTAACGTGGTACCAATAAATTGCAGGAGTGGTACTTAAGATGCTATAAAATAAGCTTTAAACATGTATTTGTCACACGCTAAATGAGATAAGCTATATAACACAACAACAACAACAACAATACATTTTATTGATTTGACCAGTTACAGATCACCATCATGCAAATTGATATTGACTTACGAGAAAGTAGAAGTATGGAAATATAAAGAAAAAATAAATAAAGGACAGGAAAAATACAAAATTAGTGGTTATTGTCGCTTCACGAGTGTTTAATGGAGTATGAACAACGAAAAAGGCTTTTACTTAGGTGTCAGAAAAAAGCAGACAGTTGAAAATTTGAAAAATATGTAGTCTTTTGATTTGTATATTATTTTTTAGGTAGTCTTTTTTAAAAAGAAAACTTATTTTCTTCCGTATTCTTTATTTTTGTTATGGACAGGTATGTTTTGCAATAACTTTATTTGTTTAGATACTTTGTAACTTTTTAACCTGTAGACGACAAAAGTTTTTTTTACCTATGAGGACATTATCATCAGACCTGCACAGATACAAGATCCTATCTTTAAGTCATTAACATTTTTAACCGTCTTAAAAATCCATTGTTTACTTGTATTCTTAAAAATACAGCAGCAATTTACTTACAATGTACTTAGATTTGTAAAAAGGAAGTTATAAACGCCTCACTGAATTTGGCAATGTTGATACAAAATTAAATTTGGACATTGCGATTTCTACTTTCATGCCTTTAATAATAAAAAATACATTGGCAACATTAAATTAAAGGTAGCAGAAATATTTGTTGAATGTATGCTTTGATGGATACTAGTGGTCCTTTAAGGCACCCCACTGAGGTCCATAAGCATATCACATAAATAATAAATTATCAACTGTGGAACTTTAACGATAATTAAGAAATATTCTCAGAAATAAATTGAAAATCTTATCTTTTTTTTTTATCTTAGCTTGATTTAATTTGAAAAGCGTTGCGAACCTTTTCTTTTTTCATTTTTCTGTACCATTTTACTAACCAAAAAATATATTTGGCTATGCATATTTATTTCAAATGTAGAAAAATAAAAGGGCTTTGAATATCTTAAATAAACAATTAATTTACTGTGCCTTTAACTCCATTTGCTACATTCAACATATAACTTTTCGTTGTCAATCTTCCGTGACTTGCTCGCATCTTAATAAGTTCTTATTAAAAGGGAAAAAGAAGAATTGAGAAGTAAGTAACAAACTGAATATATAAGAAACATTTTCTTGCAAAAGGTATTAGTTTTTAATATTAAGCATCAACTTAAAATTATAATATTATAATTGAATTTTGGAATATTATCTAATAATTCATTAGTACAAAAATATATTTCTAAAACAGTATATCGTCTGGAATGACCAAGCTATTGGTCATGATTTAAATGGTTATGGAACATGTATATTGTGCCGTTCTGTTAAACAGTATTATATTATAACAGCGGGTAAACACTCGCTCCTGAAGTATAGGAACACACCGCACAAGTGATTTCCCTTCCTTCAACATAGGGGGGACACTTCAGGACACCGCATTCTCCCTGAGTTAAACGGAAGTTTTTCCCGGGTTTATCACCACTACCAGAATTTGCCTTTCTCGGGTTCCCGGTCCATACAGATATATTCTGATGTCCCAGGGTCCCCAAAAAGACCAGCCATGAGGTAACCTGAATACTGTAAAGTGTAACCTCCGTGACAACTGTTCTGTCCAGGCACCATCATTACGTTACCGTGCCGAATGCGACATGCTACGCATGGTACATCGTGGTTATGGAGGGCATTAAATTTAGGGAGGGTTCCTTGGGCCCAGTATTCTGCACCATAAATTCTCGTACCACCTCCAAATCCGTCAATGTATTCATCCCACTCGGGTTTGTTAGAAAGACAAAGTGTGTTGGCAGCTGCCCCTTCGAATAATTCATTTCCACCAGCAGCACTACCTTCGTATACTAAAATGGCATCTTTAGGGCAAGCTTTCCTTCCCCAACGGATATAAGTTGACCCATCTTGAAGACTCAATTGATTTTGTAGCTCATCAATAGTTTTATGAGCACCTTCAAAAATAAGGAAAAAACAGTTTCACAATCGTGAGCAAATGTTACTTCCATCGAAGTGAATTTCAAGGGAAGTTGGGCCTGTTGCATTCTAATTCTGATGACCTTTGCTTGGCATAGTATTACGTTAAATATTTTGTAATACTTTACTAAATAAACACTTAGGAAATTAAATTCGAAAATTTTAATGGCCTTTTCTTTGCATAATTCAGGATAATCAACAAGAAACCGACCTTAATTATTCTCATACCCATCTAAGTAAATAATAATTTTCATGTCATACAATTTGTGACAGATAAACAGCTTACCGTTTAACTCCTTCTTTAGGTCCACACTGACACGTTCTTGTCTCTCCAGTTTTTGTTTAAGAATAATCAACTGTTCTATTACATGGTATTCATACTCGAATTTATTGTGACATGGTTGTTCCTCTGTTAAAACCACGCTTGGTAAATTAACTATGAAGGCAAGAACTGTGACAAAAATATGAAACACTTCCATTATTAATTAACTTAACTAACTTGTACGTTCAGGTGATACTTGATTATATGGTGTAACAATCCTATTCAAAGTGTAAAAAATGATCTGGACGAAGTACATTAAAGGTAGTCAATCTTATCAACTCATTTTTCAGCTTATTCATTTGTAAAATCTTTCAATATTTTAGTTATTCCCTTTTCTACTGTAACAGTACTTATCTCGCATTTGGGATATGTTGCTTCAACGTGTCATTTTGGTTTGATCTATTTTCTGACAGATTGTATTTTTTCCAAAATATATTTGCTGTTTCACTACTACCGAGCAACACATGGTCCCGTAATTGATAACCAAGACTTAAAATGTTCTTTTGTTGGGTTGACTTTTCATTGTTAGACCACATTGTTTAATTTGCTAATATTACTTTTTTGCATAGGTTAATGCACGGAATATAGAGCATTATCGCTCTTCTTGTACAAAGGTATACGCAAAATTTGGTAAAACCGCGATTCGTTATCGAATTCTCTTAATATTAAAAAAACCCCACAATTTTACATGCTTTCAACATAATAAATATGTCTTTTACAGTTATGTTTCGATAATAAAACTATCGGGACCATCGTTACAATACGCTATCTGAGTCACGCATATTAAGAATGCGTCAACAACGGATTATTCATCCATTAATTCATGTTTTCTTCTCCGTAAATGCATTCCTGCTTGTGCATATTTTATGCAAGAATTATCCATAAATAAATAAGTTTATAATATTACATTTAAAGCGTTCAGTAAAATGTAGACATTGCACAAAATATTTGATATCATCAGAAGTAGGCCCTTTATATCCCCATTGTTCGTTTTAATTTTCTTAAATTGTAAAACACTTGTTTATTTTCTTCCGTAATCTTTGTCTATATTTCAGGTGTGTTTTGTCTTTATTTGTCCACGTTTAGATACTTTGCAATTGTATTTAGTGTATACGTCTTTTGTTTAAAAACAAAACAGGTTATTTCTTCTAACAGGTTATATCAACAACGATGTATATACATGTATGACGCGGTATATAGATCCCTTTTCTTACGAAAAATAATGTCAAGTAATACAACTATTCACTAACTGTTATTGATATAATGTACTATTGGCTTATGCTGAGTTGATGACGATACCAATCTTATTCCTCACAATTTGTGTCCGTGTCTTTATTTCTCCTAAATAAGCAATCCCTACCAAGACGGACTTACCTATGCTAAAAAATCCGAACATTTAAACAAACAGAATGTTTGCTGACTTATATATTATTTATAGCTATTAAAGAAAAAAACCTACATAATTTTCATACTGATTATAATTATTGTCAGAAACAGGAAGATCATAAAATGTCAACTCCCTATTGGCATTATTTCGGCTTTGGTTAGTGAGTATTTGAAAATTTAGTCATGTTGTCAGACCTATTTTTCAATCATGATATTTCCGGAGTAGTCTTCGTTTCTCGGCAGGTATCAAACAAATAGGTTCATTACTCATTATAAAAAGTTTACATCGTGTATTTTTATTGTTGCCGTTCTTAGACGGCGACATATAAAATTAACATGTTTTGACCATTTTTACCTACCCGTACACCGCCTGAGACTTTAATACCACATGATAACAAAACCCGAAAAGAGCGCCTTGTTTTTGTTACCTATGTAAAGAATTGAAATACTATCTTCACATGTACCAGTGAGTAGGGTAATACAGGGTAAAGAATACACTTATCATATGTAGCTCGTTTGCTCAGGTCACTAATTTTTTGTTTGTTTTCAAATACGCGGCTAAAGGCAATTCAGAGCATTTTTGGAAATAATAATATTTGTACCGTATTGACTCCGAGATGATTAAAAATATATCGCGAGCTGTTCCGATGCTTACTGCAATGACGGTGTTATCAAAATATAACTGTCGACTGACATCGCTCTAGCATGTGAAAAACATGACGGAACTTGTTTCTTTAAACGAAAAGAAAATAATAAAACTCGAAATTAGCGCACCACACGAATTCTTTAATGCAATAATAACACTACAGCACTTTCTTATTATTATCATCTTCAGAAGCACTCGGACTTATCAAATTAAGGGAGAAAACAAATGCTTGAAAAAATTTGAATTCTATTCGAGATTTTTCCCCTGTTTTGAAAATATTTAAGGGGTGTATGCTATCTTTTCAGGATATTTTAAAAACTTATATTCACATTTATGTTCTTTAAGTAAGTTTATTTCAGCTAGTTCATACAATCCTGTACATGTGCTGTATCCATTGTTTAAATATTTTTTCTTTACAATGCAGTCGATTCATGAAACAGATGTAAAATTAGTTTAATATTACATTCTACATTTGTTTTACGAGGGATGTTCCAGAAATATCCGGAATAAAGCCATAAATTCAATAACATCTATTTAGTTTAGATAACAAACACTATCTTCATGCGTAATATATCCTATTCATATTGAAACAAGTATAATAATAATAAATATGACCACCACATTGATATTGAAGCAAACATAGTAATGCGCATACGTCATAAGCAATGACGTCAAAAACATATCTAAATGTTTTCAAAGTATTCGCTGTTGTACGCAATATTAGGTTGATGCCTTAAAACCCAGTTGGTCAGTAATTATATTCTTATACCATAAAGGGTCATTTTTACTTTAAACTGACATTAGCCTTCCTGTCATTTCGACATTTACCAAAAGATCTTTTTATGATCGTTCTGACATTTAACCATCCTAGCAATCCAAACGTCTTCCATGTAATTCTAGGTGTTCTCTCATTATGTCATCATATTGTTAATAAATAGTAGGTTTTTTTTATACAATATTGTTATATTCTTTCCCTTCTTAAATAAGTACCTGTATCTGCGCTATCGATACACTTTTTACGATGTGTTTCATATATTAGACATAGTCTGCCTTATCTATTTTTCGCTTTGTTGTTAATCTCAGCTATTTAACATTTTACCCCATGAGCATATTGTAAAAAATGGCCGTTTTCATTGAAAAGCCTCCTGTAACAAGTTCAAACTGCTATGAAACAATGAAAGTTGCTTCAATACTCATGAAACTTGGCACAAATGTTGAATAGACCATGGCCTCTGTAACAGCATGCTCAATCGTAAATTTCCTGTTACCATGGCAACGAGGGACGTCTCAAAATTGCCCAAAATCACTATTTTGCATTGTTTTTTCATCAAAACTGATTTCAAAGTGCTGCAACTTCTCAATGAATTGAGATAGAGTAAAAGGCTTTTCAGTGTCGGTTACTAGTTACCCTAAGATCGACCTGAGGCCATTTTGAGCCTGTCACATGTCCAAAATTTTCTAGGCGATGAGGGGGGACTTCCGCCACCTTCAACCCCCCCCCGTCAAACAGAAGGGGGCACATCCCCCTTCTGGCAACCCCCTGATGTAACATTGGAATGGGGGCGGCGCCGAAAAAGTGGTCACTTTTTTAACAACATTTCTCAAACGAAAAACAGTGTTTTGGGTCTATAAAGGGCATTTTTTCACTGTTTGAGGCCTCCAAGAAAAGGGGGGCAAAAAGCCGTCAAAACAGGTCTATATCAGGGAAAAGGTTAAAGAAAGACGCAAGTAATCATCCTGAGACAGTACTTATAAATAGTCCCCTGTACAATTGGAGATAGTTCATGCCCTCATTTTACATTTAGTTTATACTACAGTTGCTTCCCTTGAATCTTGTTTCTTTAACGTATTTTCTTTCTATGTATGTTCTTTAGTGACGGTGATATGTTTGCAAAATAAATAAGTATAAACGCCCACTTCATGACAAAAACATTTAAATGTACAACGATGCCAATTCATGCCTTCATATGAGAATATAAATTGTACTTTAAAATACGTAATTTTTGCCTAAACAATCACCAAACTGCATTATAAAGATGTGCTTATAGAAACATAGCAAAACTGTCATTGTTTATAATGTATACTGAATCTCTGACTGTTGATGAAATAAAATATGTTTCAGAACATATAATTTTAAATCTTTAGTATGCGCAAATAGAATAGATGCTTTCAAACCAAATCATTGCCGTGATTTCTTCATAAACAATAAAACCAAAGTCGCCAAGACCAATTAGTTTATAAAAAGATGGTTGGTATGAATGAGGCTAAAATTTTGAAGAAGCTCGCCTTTCCGTGTATATCTGTGCTCTCAAATTATATAACCTTGTTATGTTATGTTATGAAATTTGATGCACACGAAGTTAAATCTTTAGTGTTTACATAAAGGTGACATGGAAGGCCGTCATTATTTTTGTGAAATAAATGCACCTAAAATTTACGTCGTAGCTAGCAGGAAGAAACTTCCAAAATTAAATTACCAACTTAAAATTAATCATTGCATTAAGCACACCAATATTTCTACTACCATTCAAAAGACGAACCAAAATTCAGTCAATGATTTTAAATATAAAATAGGATAAGTTGTTGAGTTGATATTCCGCACGGAATGATGGAGCTTCTAAGTTTAAGGAATCTCAGAATATGAATGGAATAGTGTCTGGTGTCCTCACAGCATAAAATAAACATCGAAACAAAACCCAGAAAATTGAGCATCTCGAGCAAAATTACACAAACAGTAAGAACAAGCTTTTGAGATATAATATCATTAGTGTTTAATTGTCCCATCAATTAATGTTGAGTAATCCGTGTTTTTAAAATTATACTTCAAATATTTGTAGCATTTCCTGTCGAAAATTTCTTAAATTACTTCTACTTAAAATTATAACTCGAAGATATTCAAGAATAATACCAATCAAGTACGGAGCACATTTAATTTTTTAAATCTAATTCAGTTATCATGGTTAAATGATAACATTTAATCAACAACTCTATTGTAATAAAAAATCCAGTTTGAAAAAGGATTAACATTCTAACATTCTGGCTTCAAGTGTATTAGCATACTGCACACGTAGTTTCGTTTCCTTTCACATAGCAGGACAAGTGGTTGAGAGCACTTGTATTGACTGGTACTTGAGGGAACTACTTTGTCGGGTGCTTTAGGGCACTAGATGGACAAGTGCTTGAGGGCACTAGTTTGTCGGGTGCTTGAG